TCTCTCTCTCTCTCTCTCTCTCTCTCTCTCTCTCTCTCTCTCTCTCTCTCTCTCTCTCTCTCTGTGGGTGTGTGAGTTAGGTTTGGGGGGGAGGTAGCGCACGGATGACACGCATAAGTCGATATATGGCGGGCGGGCAGAAGCCACGTCGATTGTGATCAACGAGGCACTACCCGTTCGAACAAAGAAAAATAAAAACATTTACTCACCGCCAGTCAATTGATCACCGTGGCACTAACCGTTCGATCGATCATCACCTGTCCCGTGCGCAAGAATGAGAGTTTGTTTGTGCCCCATCTCTCTCTCTCTCTCTCTCTCTCTCTCTCTCTCTCTCTCTCTCTCTCCCTCCTTTTTCTTTTCCTTCTTGGGTACCGCCAGGAAGCAGGATCTGCAGCAGGAGGTGAATGTGGGGGAGGAGGACGAAAACATGAAAACCCTTGTAGTCATTCTAGCATCAGTGTATGTGTGATGATGGTCTTTCCTGCACTCTCCCGCGGCTGACGAATATTGGCATCTGAGGCCGAAGGATGAAGTGGAGGAGAAGGATGACGTGGAGGAGACGGAAGAGGAGGAAATGGACGACATAGAGAAAACAGACATGGAGGAGGAAACAGATGAGTACGAAGGACCATGGCAATACCAAACAGAAAGCGGGCATCAATAAAGAGAAAGATAAACGAAATCACCAAAGCCTCCTCCTCCCCCTTTCACCATAGCCTCCTCCCTCTTTTCCTCTCCAACTCCTTCACGTCAGCATCCTCACCTTCCTGCCCCGTCTGATTGCCATCACCATCATGTCATCTCTCCTCTCCCTCCTCTCCCTCTTCGTCCTCCCATCTTATCTTCGAATCATCATTGCTTCTCCATTCCCCTTCCTTTCCCGGGCTCTCCTGGACGTAGAGGAGGACGCAGAGAGAAGGATGATGTGGAGGAGGACAACAGAAGAAACAGGTCGAGGAGAGGACGACACTGAAGAGAAAGGTAGGCAGGAAGGAGCGTGGTGAAACGAAATAGAAAGTCGAATGGGAATTAATAAAGAGAGAAAAATGAAACCACCACTGCCCCCTGGGCGTTTTCCAATCCCGCTTCTTCATGCCGTTAGCAACGTCATATTCCTACACCCCCCTCCTTCTCCTAAGCTCACTCGCTGATAGAAAACCGAAGTAGTTCTCCGATTGTCGTCTTCTCTCTCTCTCTCTCTCTCTCTCTCTCTCTCTCTCTCTCTCTCTCTCTCTCTCTCTCTATCTATATATATATCGTCACAAATAKATATATATATATATTGTCACATTGTGAATCAGAGCGCAAAAAAGGGGAAAGAAAAAAGGAAAAGGAAAAAAGGGAAAGGGAAGGAGGTAAGGAAAGCTCCACCTGTTCATAACCTCTTACGTACAAGGCCAGCCACGTGGATGACAGGTTG